TAGTTATATTTTGTTGGTGCMAAATTAAAATTAGGATAAAAAATTCTAAGTATATGTTTTATAGCACAACATAGTTGAATTATTTGCTAAAATATTTTGGAGCTCCTTCAGAGTCTCATGGATAGCTGGTGACCCTAATTTYTGAATCTTCTCCCTCCAGGTGTGGAAGTCCGAGGACGTGTCTCTCCCTCTGGACTCTCCTCTAAACAAACTGTGTCCAAGCAGCTCGGAGCAGGTCCAGCTGTGCCAGCAGGTGACGGAGGAGCTCCTGAACGACGAGAGCCAAGCATCCTGGGACATCGAGCTCCTGCTGTCCGAGTGGAGCAGCGCCTCTCCTGACCTCAATCTCAACTCTCCGGAACCCAGCCCGAATATGGCGTACCAAAAGGCGAGCCTGTTCAAGGACCAGACTGAGCCTGAGGGTCTGCAGGTGACCGGAGGAGGCCTCATGGCTGAGCTGCTGTCACCTGAGACCACATCAGTGCAGCCGGAGCTGTATCATCATGGTTWCAGCGAAGACCAATCAGGGATTTTATCGCCTAATGTGCAGAACATAAATCAGTTTGAATTCCCTCAAGGAGGGGGTGCTGAGCGACCYAGAGGCATCAGTAAGGTCACATCGTGGGACTTTAACCCTTACTACGCTCAGCAGCACCTCCCGGTGGTGACCTTCCCCAACAGCAGATTCATCCCCTCGCAGGTCGTGACCTCTGACCCCCGACACTATGGCTACATACCCCACTTCAACGCCAACCTTTACAGCGAGTACCCCCACAGCCAGGCCACTGCCCATATGCCCCCTCACCAACAGCACCACCAGCAAATGCTGGTCAGACCTCACCTGCCCCCCAGTGGGGCAGAGGGGAAGCGCGGMAGGAGGCCTGCAGGGAAAAAGAGGCCAGCCATCCACAGCTGCGAGTACCCCGGCTGCAGCAAGACCTACACCAAGAGCTCCCACCTCAAGGCCCACCTCCGTACTCACACAGGTAAGCAAACAGGCTTCAGTAACTCCCCCTTAAATCATCATTTAACGCTTTATCATGTCGTCAACAGGGGAGAAACCTTACCACTGTTCATGGGAGGGCTGCAGCTGGAAGTTCGCCCGCTCCGATGAACTGACACGGCACTACCGCAAGCACACGGGTCAGAAACCCTACCAGTGTCTGCTGTGCCAGAGGGCCTTCTCCCGCTCGGACCACCTGGCTCTGCACATGAAGAGACACGCCTGAGTAAACATTAAAAGATATTCACAGATATCCTCATTTACACCAAATAAATTGATATTTACTTTTAGACTGACAATTTTGAAGCAATAGGATCATTTTGAGGACCTTCACTGATGTAACGACATCCTTGGCTCAGCATCTCTACATGCCAGGATTTAATATTTATTCCAAGTAAAGACTCAAAAATAAATATTATTAATAAATAAAAATAGGTTTAGTTCCATTATAGCCACAGAAAAAAATAAGGTACAACTCCAAACCTGAAAAAAAGGGATGTTGTGTAAAATGTGCTCAAAACAGAAAGCTATGATTTGTAAATCTATTTAATCCCTCTTGAATAAAGCGTTACAAAATTACAAAAACATTTAGTGAAGCGTTAATTGGGTTAATTAAATGACAGGGAATGAAAAGAGCATTTTAGACAGACTGAAACTCAGAGGTTCAACAGTCTACAAAAAGGTCAAAACTAAAGTAGAGGAACTTTTTATAAAATCCTCAAGATTTCAAGAATCTGGAGAAATTGATACTGATAAATTATCACGCAAAGAAGAACACCATCCAGAAATGCTGTTGTCACCAAATCTAATTTAAAAATGAAATCGGATCAGACGGATCCATTTAGGAAATATTAGGAAATCTGATGCGTTCGCTACGTTCCCTCACAAATAAAATGTGCGCTCATGAGATTTACACATTTAATTTGTACAAAACTTCCCAATGTTTTTTTTTTAATTGGTGCTGGATTTAAAATATACTTACAAACCAGAGCCCATATTTATCAAACTTCTTAGAATCACTCTNGCATCTCTACATGCCAGGATTTAATATTTATTCCAAGTAAAGACTCAAAAATAAATATTATTAATAAATAAAAATAGGTTTAGTTCCATTATAGCCACAGAAAAAAATAAGGTACAACTCCAAACCTGAAAAAAAGGGATGTTGTGTAAAATGTGCTCAAAACAGAAAGCTATGATTTGTAAATCTATTTAATCCCTCTTGAATAAAGCGTTACAAAATTACAAAAACATTTAGTGAAGCGTTAATTGGGTTAATTAAATGACAGGGAATGAAAAGAGCATTTTAGACAGACTGAAACTCAGAGGTTCAACAGTCTACAAAAAGGTCAAAACTAAAGTAGAGGAACTTTTTATAAAATCCTCAAGATTTCAAGAATCTGGAGAAATTGATACTGATAAATTATCACGCAAAGAAGAACACCATCCAGAAATGCTGTTGTCACCAAATCTAATTTAAAAATGAAATCGGATCAGACGGATCCATTTAGGAAATATTAGGAAATCTGATGCGTTCGCTACGTTCCCTCACAAATAAAATGTGCGCTCATGAGATTTACACATTTAATTTGTACAAAACTTCCCAATGTTTTTTTTTTAATTGGTGCTGGATTTAAAATATACTTACAAACCAGAGCCCATATTTATCAAACTTCTTAGAATCACTCTTAAGAATGCTGCTAAGAGTGGACTTAAGTGTAAAAAAACTCTTAGTTAAAAGCTGAGAGTAAAAGTCAGTTATCAAGCGTCTCAGTCTTACTTTAAGCAAAGTGTAGGAGTAAATCTTAAGTGTCAGTCTTAGAGCTGATTTATAACACTGGCTGTGCCGCAAAGCTGATCCTGGATGAAATCTTCAGAAAAAACCCCAGCATGGACCAATCACTGCCTCTGATTTCATGTGAGCTGAGTATTAATGTTTTCTCCAAAAGCTACACAAAATATCCACCTTTTAGTCCAATATTATGCACATGTTTATTATTTTTACTTTTGTTTCTTTTGTATTTTTAACTAAACCTGTTTTCCACCTTACAACTGAGAATAACAGGTGGGGAGGAGGACAGCTGTGTTCTCTGTGATCTCTGTCTTCTCGGTCCTTCTCAGACCTCCAGTGGCAACTCTTGAGTCCTCTGGAGCACTCAACTTTTCGGGAGAGTAAGAGTGATTCTTAGATTTAAGAATTTTCATAACTGGCACTTACACTTAAGTCTGAGAGTAGGAGCAAATCTAAGAACTTTTCAGCACTTAAGTCTAAAAATCCACTCTAAGAAGTTTGATAAATACGGGCCCTGATCAACACTGTACACACTGTGGGCATGCAGACAGCTAAACACTAATAAAACACATGCAAGATACATGATCTGGGTTATAAATGCATAAATACATCAAACACGACAGTATTTCCACTGCATGGACAGATCTGAGAAGATCCGTCTTTGTCTTTAAGTTTAAATTGAATGTAAAATACATAACATGTACGCTTTTCTTTTCTTTTTGAAAGCTGTAAATAATTGTGGATCTGTCCCAGCTGTTTATCACCTAAAATATTTATTATAATATTTTATATCAACAAAAAATACTATGTTCTTTTTTAATTTAGCTTTTGTCTTTTTATGTATTTTTTTATTTTAAGTAATAAAGGCTAATATTGGAGTTAAGCTTCTTTTCCGTGTGGTTTGAATTATTATCACAAGACAATAAATG